ATGCAAATTCCTCCTGGTGTTCTGCACATGAGAAACCTCAAGCTCTAAACTGCATTAGCGTCACCATGTGTACGCCCTGGGCTGAGTTGCTAGGCTCTCCTCTCCTCTCACTAGCAAGTACCCAGCAGCCCAGAGGGCAAGGTTGGCTGTGCACTGGTGTGGTGGTTTAAATAAGAATGTCCCCCAGGGCACTCCAGGGAGTGGCACTCTTTGAAAGGACATGAAGGATTAAGAGGTATGGCCTTGTTGGTGAAAGTGTGTCTCAACTGCCTTTGAGGTTTCAAAACCCCAAGGCAGGCCCAGTCTCCACGGCCACCCTCATGCATCCACCCCCTGCCTCTCTGCTTGCAGATAATGATGTAGTAGCTTTCGGCTATTTCTCCTGCTCTGCCGTGATGATAATGAACCAAGCCTCTGAAACGGTAGGTAAGCTCCTAATTAAATGTTTTCTTCTATAAGAGTTGCCTTGATCATGGTATCTCTTCCCAGCAACAGGACAGTGACTGAGACAACTTGGGAGCTGGCGTAGGGGTACAGAGGGCAGTGGACACTCCAGCCAGCACATTTGAAAGCAAGGTCTATCCGGTCATCCTGCTGAGTCCCACATTGAAGCCAACTGCTCTAGGATCACACTCCCCGTAGTTGAGTCATTGGTGGAACAAAAGTTCTCACTCACCCCTGAGGTCCCGTCCTATACTTCCTGAGATGAGAGCTGGGCAAAGGAAACACTCAGCGGTTGAGGGTCCTCGGAAGGGAAGAATGCTAGCACATTCCAGCATCCCTCCGGTCTCGGCTCATCTTCAAGGCACTCTCCTTACAAGTTGAGTGCTCAGGCTCCAGGCTCCTCTCCTCAGAGTCTCCAAATACACAGCAGCACACCCACCAGCTCGAGGTCCTGATGCCTCCACTAAGTAGCCAAGTGAAGTTGAGCCAAGGATTATTTCTAGGGTACATAATCCCAACATCCCTCTCCTGGGACACTCTGATGTTTTAGAGTCTTAGGCTTCCCGGCAGGACAATGTACTTACTAAGCCCAGAGATTAAACTTGGAGGGCAAAGGGTCAATAGCAGAGCCATTAAATCCTCTGCATAATCACCCACATGCTTCCAAAGAACTGTACATCGGTCCCCATCTCTTCCCAGGGAAGCATCTGCCTGAGACTGGCACCACTGGCAGAGATAAGTGGATCTCTGGAAGTTCAAGGTAAGCCTGGTCTACTAGTGTGTTCCAGGCTACTCCTTTCTGACACCAGGCTGCATGCATTGATGGTGGCCTTAAGGCTGAAGAATGGCTCCTTACAAGCTCAGACTCAGAGCTTGGGGCCAGGTTTTTGAACCCTTCCACTCACTTAGGTTCTGACAAGTGTTCTCTATAAGACTTTTGAGCAAGACCCTGTCTCAAAATAAAAAATAAAAGTTTATTTTGGGCTAGAGTCAAGAGCACTCACATTCACAACCATCTGTGACTCCAGTTCCAAGGGAATCTAATGCCCTCTTCCCCTGCTCTAGGGGCACTGGACACATGTGGTACACAGACGTATATGTAGGCAAAACACCCATACATGTAAAATGAAAATAAAGGGGGAATGGTAGCATGGAGCAAAGGGAAAGAAAAATGCATGTTGTATACTGTGATGCTGTGTCCAGACACCATGCCTGTCTCAGATGTGTGTAGTCCCCTTGTTCCATCTCAGTTCAGCCTTGAGTGCACATTCATGCCTGGGCTGCTACCCTCTTTCTGCAAGAAGTGTAGCTAGCAGGCAACCGTCTCCACGTGTGGACTCTGCATGCAATGGCCGTGAGTTCTGATCCCAACCCTATTCTGTTCTAATTATAAGGACATTGTTCGCTGGGCGTTGGTGGCACACGCCTTTAATCCCAGCACTTGGGAGGCAGAGGCAGGCGGATCTCTGTGAGTTTGAGACCAGCCTGGTCTCCAAAGCCACAGAGAAACCCTGTCTCAAAAAAAAAAAAAAAAAAAAAAAAAAAAAGGACATTGTTCTCCTATTTTCAAAGTCCTAGGCTTGGTAGGATTGTCTTCTTCTGTTGTTGTATTTGTTTTCTTTTCTAAGTGTTCAGGATTGACGCTAAGGCCTTATGTACACTAGGCAAGTGTTGTATCTCTGAACCACACCCCCCCTTTTTATTTTTGTTCCGAAGCAAGGTCTTAATGATAAATTTCCCAGGCTTATACTCTTCCTGCCTCAGCCTCCAAACCAGCTGGGATTATGGCATCATTGTGCCTGTTGGACTTTTCAGTTGGATGATTCACAAATGAGGTCACTACCCTTACCTATAGTGCACAATCACCAAATGCCCACTGCTACTCTTGACAATAGATTGGTTTTTATGATAAATTAAACATTAGTAATTTTTTTACACAGGAAAGAGAAGTTCAATGAGCTTCCCAAAGCCACACAGAGTGTGGACCAGTAAGTGTCAGGCTTAGATCTCCCCGACTCTAAGTTCTTTCCCACTAGGTTATAAGAGCTCAAGTGATACCCCCATGCTTATCTAGTATGCAACAGGGTCTGACACTCCAGGATCAGCCAGGGGCAAATATTATTTGTTCACTAACCTACTTATTACCAGATGTGGTGGCACATGCCTGTGATTCCAGCTCTCGGAAGGTTGAGACAGGAGGATCACAAGATTGAGGATAGCCTGGGCTACAGAGACCCTGTCTCAAAAGCTACAGCAGTGGCAGTGGCATGAGGACCCCACCGTGGAGCAGCCACTGTGATACCCTAGTTTCATCTCAGTGCCGTACGGGTCAGGTGCTGCCTTCCAGAGCTTGGGCTTCAGTTGGGCTAAGGCACACTTGGTGGTGTGGGTAGGAGGTGAAGAGGAGGTTATGAGTGCCAGCTCAGGCACGGAGCCGGGAAGGCTTGGTAAAATCTCCTCCCTTCGACCATCAGTCTGCACACATTGATGGTGGCCTTCGGGCTGGAAAAATGGGTCCACTGACTTGGCAAGTGTCTCATTAGCTCAGACTCCAAAGCTAGGGGCCAAGTTTTGGACCCTCTCCTCACGTAGGCTCTGCCAAGTTTCCTTACAAAGGTTGGAGCATTTGTTCTCCTTTCTTACCGCTCCTTCACCCCGTGACTCTAGAGCTGCCCCCTTCCCAGCCTCCGGCCTCTCTTTATCCTAAGTCACTGTGTACCCGGCCACAGATGAGCATCTGAGCCCAGAGTTTCAGCCCCTGATCACAGGCTGTCACTCTGCACAACTGAAGCCATACTGATAACACAAGGTGCTGCCAAGATGAGGCTCAAATTCCACCTGCTCCCAGCCTCCGTTCTCCAGGCTGCTAAACGGGGCTAAGTCGGGTTTGTGACAAGAGCTGTGTGAAGAAACTTGGCGCCTCATAGTTCGTCTCTAAGCTGCCTCCCTGCCCTCCCCCTGCAGACAGCCCATTCTATTGTGCTTGCCTCAACTTTCCTGCCTTGCTGGTCCCATTTTCTCTGCCAGTTTAAATCCTATCCCTCCAGCTGGGCTCAGCTGGAAGCTCGGCTCCTCTATAAAACCTCCCATGAATAACCAGAGCCTATAATGGCATTTCCTTTCTGTGTTTCTATGGCACCTTCCATTGCCTTGAAATGCTGAAATTTGTTTCATGTACTTCCAACTTGTCCCTCTCAGCTCCCGCAGGCCATTATACCCCACAGCGGGGGTGGCGGGCGGAGGCCTGGGAGTAGTTCAGCAGGAATTTAGTATTCACTTACTGGATGGATGAAGGGGCCAACTCCTCCATCTATACAGAACTTCGAGTCCACTTTGCAAGCCTGTAGGCATGACTGTCACTGCTGGTTGTGTGTACCCTTAGAAAAGACAGGACCCAGAAGCTCTGCGTCTGGCCAGGGGCACTGAGCTGAAGCCCTGTGTCAAGAACAGCAGCCTCAGGAGGCCCTGACTTGCACAAGCCCCTGCACTTTGTGCTCTGTCTTCTCTCTTGCTGATTTTCCAGGCTCTGAATGGGCATGGCCTGCTATGCACTGAGCTCTGGTGTCCATTCTGAGTGGCCCAGGCTGAAGGCCTCTCAAGGACTTGGGCCTGAAGCCTTCACTGCAGCAGGAGACCTACTCCTCTAAGTCCTAATGTGTGGTAGCGGCCCATCTTTTCTAAGCCTCCAAGCAGAAGCCCAGCATCCTCTTCTGCTTGCATGGGGTCTTTCCACTTCCTAGTTTCATGGCTTCATGTTGGCCAGCCTGCAGGTGGAGAGTCTCACAGCCTGTGTGGTTCTGACAGTTCCTACCTCAACCCCACTGAGACTAACCCCGTTTACTAAGTACCAGTAGGCTGGATCGGCCTATTCTGGAGACAGTGCTGGAAGGGCTGCTCCTCCCTTTAGCAGAAGAGCCACCCATACCCACGGACAAACTCAGCCACTGTCCTTACCCACCGTTAACTTGGGGAGGGTAGCATCATGCAAAACTGTGGTCACAGCCACAGCTGTGCCTATGAGCCACACCTGTCCTACAAGCTGAATTTCCCATCTGTCCTGCTGGCTTTTGCAAGAGGGTCGGAGGGAGCATCAGTAATGCCATTCACTTCTTCCCTGAGCCCCAAGCGCCATGCCCTTCTCCCTCTCTCCCACAAGCCTTGAGTCTTGATGCAGAAGAACCGCTCAAACTACAGCATCGTGCCCCACCCAACTCCTTCCTCTAGGGTGTGTGCATGCGAGGCAGAAGGGGCTTCTGGCCACTCAGGAGTTAAAATGGCAGCGGGACTGGAGGGGGTTGGCGTGGCAAGCAGACAGGGAGGAGGCGACCAGAGTGGGCTGGGGAGGTTGGGAGCGCGGCGGAGCAGCTAGTGAGGAGGACGAGCGAGTTGCGAGCAGCCGGGAGGGAGGAGGCGCGGCGGGGGCGCCGGGCGCCGCGGGCCTGCTCTGTGCTCCGCAGACGCGCGGCGCTCCGGGAGCGCCGGCCCTGGCCGCCAGCCTCCGGCCGCGGGCGCGCAGTATTGGGGACACTGCCATTCCCCTGACGCCCTGGCAGGCTCGGCATCGCGACCACTCCCAGGACAGGTGCAGGTTGGGGAAGAAGCTTTCCGGGCCTGGGTGGCAGCGCGTCGCGGAGCAATGTCCCCAGCCGGGAGGCGAGCGACAGACATAGGACGGCTCCCGCGCGGTGAGTGTGCGGCTGCCGGGCGGCCGGGGTCGTGGACGCCGAGGCCTCTGGCGTGGCCGTGAGGGTCGCCGCGATCCAGTCCGGGCAGCTCGGGCTCTGCTGACCGTGTGGGGGAGGGGAGAGCGACCGCGACCGCGGCGGTCGCCAAGATGCCTGCAGGAGAGCTGATGACTTGGGAGAAGGCCGGGAGGGGCCGGGGAAGGAGAGCTGGAGAATGCAAAGGAGGTGGCCTCTGCGCCGGCTGGACCCGAGCGGCGCGGGAGGGGGTCGGGGCCTGAACCTACCAGGAGAAGCCCCAACCCTTCAAACTGTTGCTGGGTAACGGGGAGCCCAGGAGATGTGGAGGAGTCAAAGAGGTGGCCCCGGGGTTAGAGAGGGCGTGACAGAGGGGGACTCTCAGCACGGAAGCGCTCCAGTGCCTAGGGGACTTTCCCTTCCTGGGAGCTCGGGTGGCGGCTGTGTGGAAAAGACAGGATGGCCTTGGTTGGGTCTGTTCGAAGTGTCTGGCACCGAGAGCCAGGCTCCTCTCGGGTGGGCGACTGGGGTCTGACTGCAGTCTAGGATGGGACATTTGGGTGGGGGAGGGGCTGGCCGGGCTTAGCCTGGGCGCTGTGCGGTTTGAAGCTGCTCCGAGGCCACCGCATCACGGCAGGCTGGGCTGGACAGCCACAGGTGGGCCGTCTGTCCTGCTGGCATGACAGGGCTGTGCAGGCGCAGGCTGCCCAGCCAGCCAAGAACCGAGAGCGACGGGGTGAGGCAGCTGAACTGAGACGCTGAAGAGGCGGGGAGAACTGGACCCCGGGAGAGGGCCCTGGTAGGGTGTTACAATGCTCCCGGCTGCCCCTGCCCTTCCTCCCCCACCAAATGAACAGGAAGGAAAATGTCAGCTGGGCTTTGTGCTCTGTTCCTCAGGCTGCCGCAGCTCCCATCTGTTGAAGCCAACGCAGCTTCTAATTGGGCGACTGGCAGGGCTTGGAGGGGGTGGGCTGGGCACAGCGCTGGCTGCCGCTGGTTGCCAGAGATGGACTGGCAGGGCCCTCTGCTTGAAGACCCTAGGAGGAGTGGGCAGTGGAGAGAGAAGCCAGGTCAGGACAGCAAGAGTGGCCTATTGCCAGCTTCTTCATCATTGTCGAAGGGACCAGAAGCAAAGACCCAGGTGTCTTACGTACCCAAAAAGGTGGCAGGCTCCATGCACCGTCTCAACGTCTCTCTGGCCAGTGCTCTCTTTCTGAGGGAGAAAGCTGGTCCACTGAACAGTCCTCCAAAGGGCAAAGAAGGGCAGGGCTGAGTGCAGGATGCAAAGGCCCCCCTGGCCAACGGGTCTTCTGCTTAGCAGAAAGAGTCTCATGTGGGTGGCTTGACCCACTTTCCTGACCAGGAGATGTTGTGAAGAAGTAGGAGAAAAGGAGCTGAGCCAGGGGTCTGTGCCTCTCGGGCCTTCTTCCTTCCCTGCCCAGTCTCCGATGGTTTTTGCTGCCTGTCAAGGGGTGCCTGGGGTCTGGGGTACAATGTTATTTGGAAAGGGTGCAATGAAAAGACTCTGGCATTTCAGGGATTTTGGCACTCACAGGATCCAGCAGCTAGAAGCCTCCCCAGACCCACATCTCCTGACAGGGAGACACCAATGGCAGCAAGAACCCAGAGGTCTAAGCTCTGCACCGAGCTAGTACTGCAGATCCTTCGCTCCCATTCCTCCTTATCTCCTGTCTTCACCAAGCACCTCCCCACCCCCCTTTGCCCTCACACCACTCTGCTCATCTCTCACCCCCCCCCCTCCTCTCCGAGTTTACCTCCCTCCCTCCCTTCCAGGTCTCTACCTCCACCTCTGCCTTTCTGTAAAACACAACTTAAACCACACTAGGCGCGCGATGGCTCCCACCATGTCTTGACAGTGAGGGCACATGAAAAGTTGTCCCCTTCACGGAGAGTACCAGGCTGGCAGGTCTGGCTCCTGAATTTCCTTGTCCCTGGTGTCCCCAATGCCCTGCCATTCACTCACTTGCTCCTCCTGCTCTCTGTTCCCTTGCTTCTTTTATCTGAAGGAAGAGAAAACTCACTGCTTTTTAAAAACTTAATTCAGCCTACTTAATTGAACACCTACTATGTACCTAGCACTATCTTAAGAGTGGAGGATACAAACCTCCATGTCACAGGCAGAGCCAATCTTGTATTTGAACATGATTGCTAGCCAGTTCCATGCCCACCAGTTTCTTTCAAAGGTTTAATGGAGGGAGAGGAGAAGTAAAAATAATCCTAGCAAATTACCACCACAACATGACCCTTAATATCCCAGGCTCGTTGCTTACCATATAGGTTGTACCACTTAAGTCACTTCTAAGCTGAAAGGATGGAGCAGTTTATATACCATCATCTGTCTTGGGGGCCAGGGCTGTGGAGAAGGCAGTGGCTTGTGGGAGCAGCTGCTCTGCCCCAGGCTATGTGAGGAGTGTTACAGAAACCATTGTATTCAGCCCTCCTAAAGGGCTGTATCAAATCCCTGCTTTCCAGCTGAGGAGTTGGGGCCTGAGGAGAGTGGAGCACTGCCTCAGGTGCTTTTTTCTTAAACCTCCATTGCAGTTCAGTCGGCTCTTATGATGTATGACATCTGCTAACTCCTACAGTTGCAATGAAGCTCATATTTGCCCTAGCTTTTCAGGAGCGTGTCTTGTCTCTCTCCTTAGAGTTCAGACTATATTTGCTGGGTGGTTGCATGAATAAACCTTCTCACATGATCCAGGAACGCTTTCTATAGGAGTGAAGGCACTGCAGAGGACACAGGGAGGGCAGAGAATCTTTCTGACCTACAAGTGGGACAAGCTGTAACTAGCAGCCACTTTCCCTAGGCCTCCGCCTTCATCGGGGTTAAGAGTGAGGAGGGCGTTGCCATGTTCATCTGAGGTCAGTGAGGGAGCTCCATCGGTGGCCAGCCTAATGAGTCAGGGTTGCTCCTGTTCTGCTCAGGTAAGCCTTCACTGTCACAAAAGCCCAGAGACAGAGAATGGGGGTCGGCAGCTTGGGTGCAAGGACTGCGGGCCAGGACAAGGTCAGTGGTCTAGCTGGAAGTGGGTCCACAAACAGGAAGAAGACAGTGGGAGATGGCAGCTTCAAAACAAATACCAGGGCATGAAAAAATAGCAGGAGTGTTTTTCCTGCTATATTCTAAGACAGGCCAAACCAGAGAGGTGCCTTTTGCTTTAGACCCCCTGGGTAGCATAGGTGTCTCTAGGCTATAACGCACAGGCTGAAGTCATGTGGCGTTTGTCTCATTCCGACTTTACTTGTTCAGTCAGCCCCTCTTCCCTAAAGCACCTACTCTGTGCAGAAACAGATGAATCAGCTATTGTCTGCCATAAGGGAGCTCGCATTAGAGTAGGTGGAGCCACCTGCCCAAGTTCTACCCAGCTGTAGCACTTGTTGCTGGGAGACTCTGGGAAAGACATCTGACCCCCCTGCACCTCAGTTTCCTCATCTATTAGTGGTTTGATATAATACCTACTTCATAAGAGCAGGGCACTCAGGGAGAGGAGCCCAGAACAGTATCTGGAATATAGGAAGTGCTATATAAGTAGTTATTATCAAGGAGCCAGTGCTGTGGTTCAGGGCTGAAGAGAGGAGACTACTCAGCATCTGCAGACTAGAAAAAGACTTGCTAGATTCGGGACAAGGCCTGAAAAGGGGGCCAGCTAGCAGAGGTAGAGGGCCTCAGGACAGTGGGGCTGGGGGTATTTGGGGCACAGGAATTGTCTATGAAAATGCACTGTGGGGGGTATGTGCACACGCTTTCCTTTATGGACATCACTGGCACCACTTAGTATCCCTCTTCAGCCTTTTTATTCCTGGTGCTAGGAGCTGGACTTCTAGTGGGACTGGCTAGCTGCCCAGAACAGCCCCACACCCCTTGGTCTAAAAGAGTGGGCTGCCAAGCAGGGGGCCTGGTGCAGCCCTGCTGAGTTTGGTTGTGTGACCTTGGCCTCCCACACATTTCTCAACCATGAGTGCCCAGCTTCTGCTGTAGCCAAGGCCTTGTCCTCTGGCTTTTGGTCCTTCCTGGGGACCTGGGAGATGCCTTGGTCTTGGAAAGCTGCTGTAGGAGGGAGTTTAACCACGGTCTGCTTTAGAATTCAGTTTGTCTCTGTGTGTTTCTTCCACCCACATCTTCCCTGCTGTTCAGCGTTTGATGGACTTGAAGCAAGTTCTAACATGAAGAGCAGGCACAGAGTTCCTGGGGCAAAAAACAGTTCCTCAGCTTCCACTTCTCCACTTGTAATGACACACATTACAACACCTAGCATTTACTGAGCACTCATGTGCCAGGCACGGGGCAGAGCGCGTTACCTGTGTTGTCCAGCTAGACCCCAAATGCCCCTATTGCCTGGGTGCTACATTTGTCCCTAATTTAAACATGGAACAAGTGAGTCTCAGGCTTCAAGGAGATGAAATGAGGGACAACAGGGGACTAGCCTCTTCAGCATCCCAGGATCCAGCAATTATTTGCCTAGGGGTAGCCCAGAGTCATGTAGCCTACTCTCCAAGCTAGATTCTTCCGACTAGAACAAGTTCCCCACACCTGCCCTGTTCAAGCCAGTACTACCTGGAACTCTTTAGGGAACTTTAGAGTCTCCCTGACTTCTTTTTCCTGCTCCAACAGGGTATGGTTTCCAGAGCCTTTAACCTGTTTTTGTTGTTTGTGTCTTGGCCATAGTAGGGATCAAACCTAGGATTTTTTACATGCCAAGCAAGCTCTCTACCAATGGCTCACATCTGCAAACCCCAGGACCTGATAGTTGAGATTTAACACATTTCTTTCTGCCTCAGCGAGGGCCTCCAGGGCCTTCAAGAAGCTGACCCTGATTCCGTGCCCATGAACACAGGAAAGGGCCCAACCAAAGCATGGCCCTCTGGAGGAGGGGGGGATGGGACACACCCGGGAAAGGTGAAAGGAGACAGGCAGGCTACTTAGGACCTTCAGTGGGCTGCATGGGTTAGCTAACATGGCAGGCTCAGGTGTCCTGGGGAGAGCCAATGCAGCCGGTTCTGTTTACAAGCATCTCTGAGGCAGCTCCTTCAGAGAAAACATGTGGTAGAAGAGGCGATGATTGTGAAGCAGCCAGTTTGGGTCCCCCAGGAGAAGTGGGTCTGTCTTATCTGATCTGCCCGGAAGGAGAAAGCAGAGAGAAAGACAGCAAGGATTGGGGAGGTCTGTAAAGCCCTGCTCCCCAGACTGGGGCCAGTGGAGAACCTGTCGCTTGGGAAGGCGAAGGTCGAGACGCCCTGAAGGTGCAGCAGCTGTATAGCTGTGCAGGAGAAAGGGGACAAGAAAGGTTGGCACTTCCCCTGATGCTCAGGATGGCCCAGCCAAGGAGGTAGGATGGACTCCCATAACCCAGGAGACCTATGGCTCCGCCCATGGCCCATCTCTGCAGGGCCATGCCTCTGCCATCCTACACAGGGTGGGTGGTGGGCCTCTTCATTAGGCAGTGTTTACCGAGCCTCGGTGCCTGCCCCAGGGGTACAGGCAGCAGGGAATAACAGAGAGCTCTACCCTTAAGGAGCTTTTACTTTGCTGTCTGGGGATACAGCAAAGTAAACTTAGAAAGCAAATGGCATATTAGTGTTAAGTGCTCCAGAGAAAACTACAGCAAGGAAAAGAAATAGAAGATGTATGATGGGCGGGCTGGGGAGTGAGGTTTGTTTGGGGTGGCCACATTGGCTAGCTGAGGTTAAATCGGTACCGTGCCAAAGGAACAGCTGGTGCACGGGCTGGGAGGCAGGATGGGGCCAGGGAGGCTGGAAAGGTGCTGAGGAGGGGGTGTGTGCCTGGTGAAAAAGGCAGAAGCCGAGGCTGGGGATATAACCAGGAGGCTAGACTGGAGTTACCGTTCTCACCGAGGACTTGGCTTCTTCTGAGTGCGATGGCAGACATTTCAGGATTTGGATTCTTGAAACCCTGGAGTTTGGGGTCTTCCATTCCAGCATCCTTTTGCCATTGTGACTGTTTGGGTCAATCGATGTGTACCCACTTGTTTGTGGAACTTGGTCTTGGGAAGGTATGGGTGTGGATTTAGGGACAAGGTAAAGTGGAAGCCCTGGTCCCTGCTGGTAGGGAGATGCTCAGATGAGTTGGGGAGGCAGAACTCAGACTCTGAAATAATGAGGGAATAATACCAGACAGTATTTAAAATCAAGTGCTAAACTGTGACTTAGACTATAAATGTTATCAGAACTGTGTGCTCTGTGTGGGAGTACACAGGGATCGCTTCCTTGGGAGGTGCGGCAGATTGGGGACTGGGGAACAAAGTGGGGTTCCACTCTGCAGAGGGAAGGACTCAAGAATCTATATCTGGAAAGGCGAGAATGTTGATCAAGCAAGAGGGGAGGATGAGGGGTCACGTAAGGGGTGGGAGGAGTCAGCA